CCTTAATTGCCGACTCTAAGCCTTCTCATTGATTCTCAGAAACCTTGCGAAGCTTTTGCCTCAATCCTCTTTCTCAGAACTCTGGCCTCTATTTCTTCTCTTTTCACGGTCTAACAAGAATGAGTCCTAATTCCTTCAAAAATCCCTTTTTGTTAAACCTAACTTTGGGCCTATAAATTGGGTTTTTCCAATATTACCCTCACTAACTCCTCCTTAATTGTCCAATTTGCCCTTAGTTAACTTATATTTATTTAAACTAATGTGATACCAGTATATTCATATTATATACTATCATTTAAATAAATAACCTAAAAACCCTAATTCTCAATATTTCACACCAACCACTGAAAATTACCAAAATGTGAATATTCTTATTTAAATAAATTAAATTAAATATTCCAATAAATTTGGGGTGTTACAATGAAGGACCTGAACCCCAATCTCAATGGAAGCTTATATTCGATGGTGGCTCAAACACAGAAGAACATGGGATTGAGGCTGTTATAACTTCTCCAACAGGGTTCCATATTCCTTTCACAGTGAGGTTATGCTTCACCTGCACCAATAACATGATGGAGTATGAGGCGTGCATCCTAGGAACCGACGAAGTCATTGACCTAATAATCAAGATCTTAGAAGCATATGGAGACTCAGCTCTCGTTATCAATCAAATCAAAGGATAATGGGGAACACATAATCCCAAGCTAATTTGGTATTGGGATCACGCTTGGAAAATGATCACTTAATTTGATGAGATCACATTCAACTATATTCCTTGGGAAGAGAATCAACTAGCAGATACATTGGCTACTTTGGCATCCATGTTCAAGGTTAAGTAGTACAATGGAACACCGACTATAACAATTCAATGTTTAGATGAGTCAGCTTATTACGTAGCAATAAAGGCGGAAGCGGGTGATAAACCATAGTTTTATGTCATCAAACAATTCCTCCAGAAACAAGAGTATCCTACAAATGACTCACACGGGGATTAGAAAACGCTCAGAAGATTGACCATCCAATTCTTCCTCAATGGGGATGTACTGCATAAAAGGAATTATGACATGGTCTTGCTCAGATGTCTGAATGGATACAAAGCGGACATGATTCTTAAAGAAATTCATGAAGGATCCTTTGCCACTCACACCAATGGATATACAATGGCTAAAAAAATTCTCAGAGCAGGGTATTACTGGTTGACTATGGAATTGAATTGCTTCAAGTACGTCAAGTGCCACAAATGCTAGATCTATGTTGATACAGTTCATGTGCCTCCAACGCCCTTGAATGTTTTAACTGCTCTGGGGCTCTATTCTATGTAGGGTATATACATAATCGAGATGATCGAGCCGAAAGCCGCAAATGGACACAGATTCATTCTAGTTTCCATTGATTACTTTACCAAGTGGGTAGAAGCTGCTTCCTATGCCAATGTAACAAGATAAGTGATCACACAATTCATCAAGAAAGATATAATTTGTTGTTACGGGGTTTCTAATAATATTATCATGGATAATGGGTTAAATCTGAACAACAAGGTGATGGATGAGTTATATGTGAGTTTCAAAATTGAACACCATAACTCGTCACCCTATCGACCGAAGATGAACGATGTCGTATAAACAACCAACAAGAATATCAAGAAGATCATCCATAAAATGGTAAAATCCTACAAGAATTGGCATGAGATGCTCCATTTTGCACTACATGGCTATAGAACCTCAGTTCGTATATTAACAGGAGCAACTCCTTTCTCTTTGGTGTATGGTATAGAAAGTGGTACTCCTTATTAAAGTAGAGTTTCCTTCACTTCGGGTCATAATGGAGACCAAACTGGACGAGGCAGAATAAGTGCAAATAATATTTTATCAATTGAGCCTCATATAAGAGAAGTGCATGGCAGCAGTATGTCATAGGCAATTGTATCAGCGGGGACTCAAGAGAGCATTCGACAAGAAAGTTCGTCCTCGCCTATTCGAAGAAGGAGACTTAGTGCTAGGGAAAATATTACCCATCCATAAAGATCCCCGCGGAAAATGGACCCCAAACTATGAAAGGTCATACTCGTGAAAAGGGTCTTCTCTGGCGGAGCCCTAATTCTCACAACCATGGATGGAGCGGAGTTACCACGACCAGTGAACTTCGACGCAGTAAAAAAATAGTATGCTTAGAAAAATAATTAGGAGATTTTTAAAAATAACTAGGAGATTTTTTATATATTTTTTAATTAATTTTCTTAAATAAAAAAAGATATACCAATGATTTTATAATTAAATTTAAAAATTATTAAAAAAAAAACGATATTCATAGATTAAGTAGGGGTGGTAAAATGGACAAACCTACTGAACATGTCTATTTTGTCCGTAATATTTTTTGCAGGATGAGACAGATTGTTAAGTTTGCAATCTCTAATATGTTTGTATCGTATTTTTTGAGATTTTGAACAATAACTAATGAAATTAAATACACATTTTGAACCACATTTAAGCATTGTTTAGAATAATAATGTTATTTATTAAATATAAAAGATTTATTTATTGCAACAAAATATTTCTTGTTATTTTTTTTCTTCAAAGCAAACAAAACCATGTATTAACTAAAACTATATATTAGTGTATTTATAAGATTTAGATGTATTATATATTTAGAAAAATAGAAAATGGTTAAGTAATTCACCCTGATTAATTTTAGTCTAGTAGAGGAGAGGAGAGAAATTGTAAAAATAGAAAATAGATAAGAATGAGAATAAAGAAAGAAATAAGATGAGGTGACAAGTAATGTAAGTGCCAGTGCCTATTAGTTTTCAGTCTACACTACACATATACATGAGGAGGTACCTAAAATAAAATGAAAAAAGGAAAGCAAAAGATGAACGTGCATAAATGGTTTTGACTGTGTGGGAATAGGAAAGTAAAGATGATAACAAATCGAGGCGAGGGTGAAAGGAACTGTATTTGTTATTATGTTTGTTCGTAACCCTAATGAATAGAGTACCACACCGATTAATTTCGGAAGTATATCATAGTTTATATTACGCTACATCACCTCATTGTTTGTCCCTTCGGGGACATCCGATAAAATTGGAACGATACAGAGAAGATTAGCATGGCCCCTGCGCAAGGATGACACGCACAAATCGAGAAATGGTCCAAATTTTTTTTTGACTTTTTTTTTCGTCCATCTCTCTCGCTCTCGTCACTTTTTTCAGGTATTTCCATCATCAATGCTCAACTTTTTGTTATGGCTGGTTGTGTTCTTCTTTCTCTCGCTATTGCTATTGATTCCCTAACATCAATTTCACTTGTTAAACTCTCTAACCTAAAATAAGTTCCTTGAATGTCACCTGTTTGATGAAATGTCACATTCAAATATTCTGCATAATTTTTGTTTTCTAGGAGAAAATGTATGTATCATTTCAGTGTTTAGCTTTACATGTATTTTGTTATGGCTGCTTGTATTCTTCTTTCTCTCGCTATTGCTATTGATTCCCTAATATCAATTTCACTTGTTAAACTCTCTAACCTAAAATAAGTTCCTTGAATGTCACCTGTTTGATGAAATGTCACATTCAAATATTTTGCATAATTTTTATTTTCTAGGAGAAAATGTATTTATCATTTCAGTGTTTAGCTTTACATGTATTGGTTTGTCCTGTATATCATGATAAATGGTGAAACTCACTGAACCATGCGACTGTCTAGTGTGCAGTTCTAAATGATACAGAGAAGATTAGCATGGCCCCTGCGCAAGGATGACACGCACAAATCGAGAAATGGTCCAAATTTTTTTTTGACTTTTTTTTTCGTCCATCTCTCTCGCTCTCGTCACTTTTTTCAGGTATTTCCATCATCAATGCTCAACTTTTTGTTATGGCTGGTTGTGTTCTTCTTTCTCTCGCTATTGCTATTGATTCCCTAACATCAATTTCACTTGTTAAACTCTCTAACCTAAAATAAGTTCCTTGAATGTCACCTGTTTGATGAAATGTCACATTCAAATATTCTGCATAATTTTTGTTTTCTAGGAGAAAATGTATGTATCATTTCAGTGTTTAGCTTTACATGTATTTTGTTATGGCTGCTTGTGTTCTTCTTTCTCTCGCTATTGCTATTGATTCCCTAATATCAATTTCACTTGTTAAACTCTCTAACCTAAAATAAGTTCCTTGAATGTCACCTGTTTGATGAAATGTCACATTCAAATATTTTGCATAATTTTTATTTTCTAGGAGAAAATGTATGTATCATTTCAGTGTTTAGCTTTACATGTATTGGTTTGTCCTGTATATCATGATAAATGGTGAAACTCACTGAACCATGCGACTGTCTAGTGTGCAGTTCTAAATGTAGCAACATCCGCGAATACCAGCACTGTTGGGACATGCTTAGCCATTTCTATTCTGCAGGTTGCTCCACAGCCCAATTTTACTGCAACTGTCTATTGTGCTGTTCTAAATGCGAATACCATACCAGCATTGTTGGGACATCCTTAGCCAACCGGAAACAATGAATGCTATTGCTCTGCTACAAAATTGATTGTGCAACACGCGTCTCCTGAAAGGGAAGCTCTTGCTGCATATCTCCTAGTTTCAATTCACACACGTCTAGCTGATGCTGCTCTTGCTAGCATTTACTAGTTAGACAGTATACGGTATTTTTTTTGTTCGTTTGCTCTTGGTTTCCGCTGTGTTTTTTATACTATATATTGCTCTTGTTGAAACTAGTAACTAGAAGCAATCAAACATTTGATGATAAAATTTCCATGTCCTTACTCAAGTCCCACTAATTCTAGCTGCTGTTGCAGACGCTGCACAGTGTGTTTGATTATTCGCAAATACTTATTTGCGTGTGGTAGTACGACATGTTTAGAGAAGCTTTGCTCTTGATGACCTTTTGTACCCAAAAGTTGTACCTCACTTTAGAAGCATACCAGAAAATCAGAAATGTACCGGCCGGAGAGCGATCTAGCTCGCTGACTAAAGAAAATACTTGTGGACCTTGATGGATATCATCATGCTAGGAACGTGGCCAGAACCTTCCACCCGAAGGAGCCATTATGCGTTTTGTATTTCATTATACTCAATCTCTTGGTATGTCGGGGATTTTGGCCCAGGGTTAGCCTTCTCAAGTGAGTGCTTCAGATATCCTTTTGACCTTATCAGGAGTCTGCTTTATGATTTGTATCTTGACCTTCAAATTTATATCAGGCATCTTTCACTCCTAGAGTCAGCTAAGTGTATGAACTGGCTGGAACATATGAAACTAATTAAGGACCTTCGCTACTTCTTTTGTCACCATAATGGGTATGTTGTGCCAACCAAGAACCTAAAATGCATATGGTAAGGAATATGTAGGTATTTTGACAAATTTTTTGGTGGTGAATTTGTCTTTCAAAATGACTGTTACCAAACAATGAAGTGAGCTTATATGCTGTATGCTATCTGCTATAAGCTCGAACATGCCAAACACACTTAAGAGCTGATACGAACAAGCTTTTTAAAAGCCTCCCTTTGTCCCCGTCAGTTTAATAAATGGCTTGTTAGTGTTTATCCATCACCTGCAAAGTTCAAAATGACATTAACTATTTAAGAAATAGAGAGATAAGGAAAATTAGATAAGGTATCATTAGAAAAAACTAATAATTTTACTAAGCACATAAATGGAACAAAGGTAATATACTTGAAAAACACTGGTTTCTAATAAAGTTGAAGAATATGTATTTTCTCACTACATGATATTTATAACTTGAAACTCATTTTGCTTGTCATTTTTGCTAGTGCTTCTGCAGGGTAACGTTTACTGAGGCTAATACTAAGGTTACCTGTGACTTTAACTCTCAGCATAAAGCTTTCAACATTGAAGAACTTGAATATGAGACAAAGAAACTACATGAAGATTGAGCATCAGTCATTTTCGAAAAGAGTCACTGAAATTGAGGTAGAAGAAGTAGATGTGAAAGCTGCAATGTCAGTTTTAAGCAGGAAATGTAATTATGTTGAAGCTGCCAGAAGTGCAGCTCAGGATGCATTTACTTCTGTGAGAAAACAAAGATTTTCCAGTGCAGTTAGACGAGCTTGATAGAGATTTTAAATTCTGAGAAATAGATGATCATAACAGGAGATCTAAAGCTTTTGATTCTTGAATGCTGACATCGATGGAAATAGATGATCATAAATTCAAGTGTGAACCGAGCATTGATGAGAGTGATAGTGAGAACCAAGTATATCAGTCACAATGATTTGGTACTGCAGGGCTGCTGATGAGATTTTCAGTGATGTTTCAGAGGAATATAGTCAAAAAAAGAATGGAAAAAGGGAAAGAGAGTATTCGTCCAACAATATCATATGTGCTTATATTTCGTTGAGTTTTCTATTAATCTTCTCTCCATATTTAAGATTTGAACTCTTGAGGTTCACAAGGGTTTAGATTTTCAAGATATGAAATGGCATTGACCTATTCTATATTTACCATTCCAACCACAATTCCTAATTGAATGCTATCGATATCAACTTGAGAATTACATGGTTTTTGTTATTTTTATTGGTGAATTGATAAGGTGATTTCTTTGATGTGTCGGTGTAGATTTTCGAAGCGGTAGTGCGGAGTGGACTTGCAAAGTTAGTATTCTAATGTTCAACTTAGTGAGTAAATGTAAAAGGATAGAGTGAGTTATGATTAGAATTATACTTTAGATTGCACACACTCTGATTTATATATGATAGATGTTAATTTGACCTATTTTGTATTGGGCTTGTGGCCGACATAGAATAATTGCCCTTAAAACTTGTCGTAACATGACATACGAGAAGTTTTTCAAGAAACTAGGATGGACTCTCTATGCTGGAATCTTTGCGCGGAGAAGTGGAAGAGATCTGGAGAACATGCATATTAAATCTTGTCGTGGCATGACATACGAAAAGTTTTTCAAGAAACTAGGATGGACTCTCTATGCTGGAATCTTTGCGCGGAGAAGTGGAAGAGATCTGGAGAACATGCATATTAAATGCTAGTTTTTATCATTGAAGTGATTTGCAAGATTTCCTTAAACGTGACCCTTGATTCGTAGGCTAGGGAATGACGTTTTTCCCTTGGATGCCCGAGTGTACTCAAATGTTGTATTTTCGAGGCAAGATTTGATCGTTATTTTTCATCTTCCTATTTTCTTTCATTTTGAATCGTTGATTTATCCATTTTTTCTACTATATAAAGATAGTAATATCTAGGGTGAACCAACAAGTGGTTCATGGTGGAACACACCTGAAAATCGTTGGATTATGATGCTTTATCAAAACTTATGATGAATCCTTTCACACTAAATTGTATATTCTCTTTTCTTTCCTCACCATTTATTTTCAAAAGGTGGAATGAGTTTTCTTGCATTTTACAACGGTGAGGAGTTAGGACAACGAACCGTAAAAATTGTCTATCTTGCAATATATATATATATATATATATATATATATATATATATATATATATATATATATATATATATATATATATATATATATATATATATATATATATATATATATATATAGTATAACTGAGCAATGTACTTAATAGGTAATTTAGATGAGAAATTTGTTTTGATCATATTTGATTTCCATTCATTTCAATCATTTGTATTTTTTCTGAGTTGTAGGCTAATACGGAGATGTACGTAGTTGTTCAAAATTTGATTTTTCCAAAAATACATAAGTGCATTTTCGTATTTTTTCTGTCTACATTGTTTGGTTTGATTTTCAATATGTTTCTTCTGGGTTTGAGTTTTTATACTTTGTCTGGCTTGTCTCGTTTAATTGTAGGTAACAAGATTGGCAATCAAGATTGATTGAGGCTTGATAGAGTGTCTCAACGTAGGTTGTCGATAGCATGCAACAACGATATAACATAGTTGTACATGTCCTCGGAGTCACACTTTTGGGCTGTTATCCGCTATCTACGATAGCAGAAATAATAGCCGCTATTTATGGAGTCGTGACAAATGTTGGTGGAGCTTAGAAGTGAAGATGAGACCGATGTGATTTAGTCATTTTATTTACGTTTGTTTATGTTTAGAATTTGATTTAGTCATTTTGAGCACAATTATAATTTAATTTTTATGAGAACTTATATTGTGGTGATGTTAGAATTTATGTATGTTGTTGCAACTTCTGTTTTCAAGGAATTATATATATTGTTGGAATTTATTTTACGTATTTATGTACTCATGTTAAATATTTAACTTGGTTTTTAAAGCTCACGATAGCGGTCATCTCGCTATCCGCTATACAATTTTGGGGTCTGATGCGTATTGAGATTAACAACCTAGGTCTCAGTGTGCATTGGTTTGTAGGGAAATAGCCTAACCCTTCGACCACCAGTCAGTTCTAGTTCGTTTGATGCAGAGACTTCAACTTCTAGGGTTCAGGAGGAGGCATGTATCACCTCCTGACAGATCTACTGTCGATGCAGCCATTCTTGAGGAGTTTGTAGGAGACTCGTATGACTTATCACTGATGCCTTTATATACAGACCATATTGCTAGACGAGCGTAGGACATAAGATAAAATTTATCAATATTTTTTCTTTGAAATAAATGTGTTATAATAGTCTAACTTTCTAGCGATAATTTATTTTTCTTCAGTATTTGATTATTTAAAATGCATCAACCATGGTCGAAAGATGGCGAGGTTGCAACTATCTGATGAGCTCTGACTTCACGGTGCAATACAACTAGCTGGGATGTGATGTTTATGCATGATCAGTTACACTACTATTAACCATGGTATGTTGTAGGCTTTTGCAGAGAGAAGGCACTCTGAGATGTCGTCTATTCATCTTCTACATGGTGAGATATCCATCATACTAGATGATGTGCCACACGTGCTACATATTCTGGTCAAAGGGAGATTACTAGATCACTCAAAGATTACCATAGTTGATGCATTAGAGATGATGGTGGAGTATTTGAGAGCTGATCTCGATGATGACATGAAGGAGATAGAAGACATATGAGGGTGTCATGCTATATTTATATTCTTGAAGAGATATATGCACACTAGCTAAGTGCAACAAAGTAGGATGGTGATGATAATGAATATCTTATGCAACAAATATCATATTTATTGTGGACATATATATTGTATTTAGTTGGCACATCCATATTTGTGAATAATAGTGTTTATTACGTGGATGTAGTTTATCTTAGATAATTCATTGACTTGGAGCAAATTCATGAGTACAACTGGAAGGCCGGTTGATTGGTTTAGTTGTACTCCAAGTTAGATTAAAGTTGTCTTTGGAAGACTAGATAAATGACAGCTAGTTGCACGCTGTTGGCGATAATATATTTGCATTCTTAACTGTTTATGTACCATTTTCATAACATTTGTGCTTCGTCGTTACTAATAATTTATATGTACCATTTTCAAGCATGAATCCTCTAGCACTTCCCACGCATTTCCGAATGCTCATATGTTGATGTCTACACTAAGGATATGCCACATGTTTATGCATTTGTCCTGCTCAAAGAAAATAAGTTGACCGATCCCTTTAAAGTGTATCTTGACCGCATATTAACAAATGATATACCATTCTAGTTGTACGACCTTAACTGTCACATGTATCCCTTTGAAGATATAGGCTTCTACTCTAGATGATTGGGTTGCGGGTCACGTCTAATGTATTCACGTCTGTCTAAGCGAGTGATGTGAAAATTTGGGTATATTTGTTCCAAGACACCCCTCAGAATCTGCTCCTCCTACTATGGTCTGTAGAGATGTAGATGTCATGTATAATGATTTCCTTAATCATCTACTACCGACTAAATCATGAGGTACCATATCTCCTAGCGAGTGGAGTTATGCATACAACTACTGCCATACCTCGAAAAAAGAATACGACGCTCGCGAAGCATAATTGCACGCTCACATGATGGACTGAACAGAGTCGCCACCAAAATTTATTTATTCCCAAAAAGGGAAAGTATCAATAAAACCCTTTAAAAGAAAGACAATGATATGACAAATCAGGGTTCAGGAGTCGATTACGCAAGGGGATGATATTAACATTCCTCACGTCTGTTGTACTCAACTGGAACCGTTTGGTTAGTTGTGCATGTTAGTGTTAGCTTAAGAATGTTTGACTTCTTGATTTATTGAAAGGGAAGAGATTAGGACAACAACTTTATTTTTTTATTAAGGTGTCTAATGAGATTTTGAATCTCTCTCCTACGTATCTCAGGGTGCGATGGAGAAGTTAAGGCTACGTAGTTTTTGGTAGAAAATGTTTCTTTGTTGATCGATTTTAGCAAAAAATATTTTGTCACAATAGAAGGAAAACATTTCTTAACCAAAATA